TATATAGCGCGCCTTCGTGTTTAATAAATGCACCCGCTGCGAGTCTATACTGTCTACGTTCAAACGTCAATTGCACCTCTTTGACAACTTTGAAACAGCGCTCCCCAAAACAGTGAAATTGACCTTATGCGTCACGAAGGAGGCAAAAGGAGCCTGAAACTGACACTGGAACTCTGGCAATTCCAGTGACACTGGAATTAGTCCATTCTTTACCGTGGCAGCACTTGTTAGTGCTTGTTAGGTCATTGAAAGCTCTTTCACAGCGATGCCAGTTTTTTGTTACCTCGTTGATAATTATCTCTATACATGTTATTCACCAGCCAGGAAGTCCGTATTGGAAAAAAAACTGTACCCGTAGTCTTGGATATCACGCGAGTATGAGACCCTAAACAGAAAGCAATATCTTTTCACATCCTCTTTCAAAAAATGCGTACACAAAGGGGTTTAGCGTAGAATTGGCTAAGAGCAGCAAAGTTGCTGCCTCTAATTCATGGTAAGAAGCACTACAGAAACCGGCACTACAGAAATCGGCTCTAAAGAACCCGGCACTATAGAAACCGGCACTACAGAAACAGGCACTATACAAACAGGCACTACAGAAACAGGTACTATACAAACAGGCACTACAGAAACACGCACTATACAAACAGGCACTACAGAAACAGGCACTATACAAACAGGCACTACAGAAACTGGCTCTACAGAAACCGGCACTACAGAAACAGGCATTAAAGAAACCGGCACTAGAGAAACCGGTCCTACAGAAACCGGCACTACACAAAGGGGCACTAGAGAAACAGGCACTACAGAAACGGGCCCTACAGAAAAAGGCACTAAAGAAACGGGCACTACAGAAACCGGAACTACAGAAACCGGAATTACAGAAGCCGGCACTATCTAAAACGGCCCTACAGAAGCCGGCCCTACAGCAACCAGCCCTACAGAAACAGGCACTACAGAAACTGGCACTACAAAAACCAGTACTACAGAAACGGGCACTACACAAACGGGCACTACACAAACCGGCACTAAAGAAACCGGCACTATAGAAACCGGCACTACAGAAACCGGCACTACAGAAACAGGCACTACAGAAAGAGAAACTACAGAAACAGACACTACAGAAACAGGCACTACAGAAACTGGCTTTACAGAAACCGGCACTACAGAAACAGGCACTACAGAAACTGGCACTACAGAAACAGGCACTACACAAACAGGCACTACAAAAACAGGTACTACAGAAACAGGCACTACAGAAACAGGCACTACAGAAAGAGGCACTACAGAAACAGGCACTACAGAAACAGGCACTACAGAAACTGGCACTACAGAAACAGGCACTACAGAAACAGGCACTACAGAAACAGGCACTACAGAAACAGGCACTACAGAAACAGGCACTACAGAAACAGGCACTACAGAAACAGGCACTACAGAAACAGGCACTACAGAAACAGGCACTACAGAAACAGGCACTACAGAAACAGGCACTACAGAAACAGGCACTACAGAAACAGGCACTACAGAAACAGGCACTACAGAAACAGGCACTACAGAAACAGGCACTACAGAAACAGGCACTACAG